GGTTTGTGGTTTCGCTGTTATGTAACAGGAACAGGGAGAGAACTTCCTTTCGCTATCAATCAGGAAATTCTATAAGCATGCAGGAAAGTCTTCTTGCAGTATCTCTGCAGAAGATCTTATTTAAGTAACTGTTGTGGTACAAATAAATAACATGTTTCATGTATACACACATATACATATATATATATGTATATATATAAAATATATTTATTTATAGACCTGTATCTGCATGTTTTTGACCCTCCCTGTAATTTGGCATATAAAAAATACATCAGAGTACAGTACAACTGATTTCACATAAAGATTTAAAATATAAAGATTAATTGTGTAACCTTCTCAGAACTGCAGATCTCAGATCTCACAGTTTTTTTTTATCATACTCATCCCCACCCCATCCTCCTCAAATAGCAGGAAGCCCCTGAGGCCAAAGCCTGAACCAAAACAGTATTGTGTGCAGCTTTAGCTTCTGATGGAAATCGAGGAGGCTCGCCGGTCTGCTCTAATGTTACGAATGCATGCATTGTATATGTCCTGTTTTCATATATTTCTGGCAAATAAACAAACTGCACCCTTTCATAATGAGATTAATAGTTTTGACACTATAAATAAATAAATAGGGCAGAACTACTTGATGCAACTATGTTTATGCAATAAGTTTAAAAGAACAAAGAAAAATCTTTCATTACTACTTTCATTTATAGTTTGTGGGTCTCTAGACACCCAGGTTTCTTTTCATTCTGTTCGACCTCTCTCTAGGTTCCTGAAATCTGATCAGTGTGTTTCCCCTTGCATTCCTCCTCCCCCGGCATGCCTGAGTCCTCAGCTCTGCCCTCTGTCTGATCTCCTGTTTCTGCAGACCTACAGCAGATTGTTTATTTTGCTAGACATGGAGGAAACATTGTTGGACCCTTCATTGACTCAAGATTTACTGCTGCGCCCCAGCCAGGCTCCAGTGTGATGTGTATCAAGAACAGGGCCCCCCCTATAACAGCAAGCTTAGTGTCCTGGGGAATACACCATTAGATGATCACATCAGTTGATACACCATGGTATTGTGCATACAAATACTCTACTCATCCTGCTAATTGTGGAAATTGAGGGCATAGATCACTCAATGAATCACACACACCAGTGTCCTATAATGGACAAAGGGCAAAAAAGCCACACCTGACCCTTTCAGATGTCTTCTCCAGGGTAATACTGGAAAAGGACACCACATCTCCCCAGAGATCATTTCTGTTGAAATTTATGAGGCCTCTGCACCACTGATGTCCCTTTGTAAGTGGTGAGATCAGAGTATTGGATAAAAATTGCTTTGGGAGACAAATTTTATCAGCAGAAAAGCATCTCACTGCTCTCTCTGGTGTACATTGAGCATATATATATATATATATGTTTTAAGTGGCTGCATTAAACAAAGATTGATTATGGTATGGTAACATTGGTTAATAATGAACGCACAGCACCCGGTTTACGTCTTTTCAACTCTTCAACTTCCTCTATGCGGGTTATTGAAGGGTTTATATATTGTGGTCTCATGATGCAGGAAATGCACATTTTGTTGACGGATATGCTTCAGTGTGAGATGTGAGAGAAATGATGGCACTCTTTACCTTTCAGGCTATGTGAGTGTCAGAGCTAATAGTAATGCATGGTGGAGCTTTGTGGAGGCAATTATGATTTATGAGTCACACAAGGGAGAGTTAAGTAAGTACATTCAGTACTTATTTTGGAAGAGAGAGGAAGAGAGAGAAAGAGAAGGAGAGAGCCAGAGAGAGAGAGAGAGAAAAGGGAGAGAGATCAAACAGAGAAGATCGCCACATGAAAGGGAGCAGGAGTATTCATAAATCTGTCTCATCATGTTTGCACTTTTCTCATATTTTAGTGCGGTTTACTCTAACTCAGGCATGGCAGGTAAAGTTGACGAAGAGTGCATCAATCTGATTTTCTGAAGTTATTTTGGAACACAGATATCCTGAGCAGCCAGCTGGGTAACTGAATTTCCTCCTCAGGAAAAGATGGACAGAAGGAGGATTGAGGACTGAACAGAAAGAGAAAATGGTACTTGAGGTAAATGATTGTGTGATCACTGAAAGGACTCAAGCAATGCTCAATTATCAGATAATCAAGATGATTTCAAATGCAACAGAAGAAAGCTGAGTTGTTCGGAGACCAGTAATATCAAAAGACATCACGTATAAGCTGTTGTTAAGTTTAGTAAACTGTATATGAAGATATGACTTTAATCTGGATAAATACATATTTTGATTTGATTTGATTTTGTTGTTGTTAATGTAAATGTGTTTGTAGAAGTGTTTCCACATCCACTGATATTAAAGAGCAATATCGGCAGGATAGTGAAACATCTTAAAGTTGCTTGTCATTAAGGACAGTTATGGGGATGGGTCTATGTGCACAATAATATCATAATAAAGTGGAATTCAACTGGCAATTTTGATCAAGTAATCATTAAATCAGATTGACAATAGAAATGTCTTGTTTCACTTGGTTATATCACTTCAGTAGGTGGCACATCATACTCTGCCTCTAAACTCTGAATCTTCAATAACTTAATGGTTAAGGTCTCTGCATTGAAGTCAAGAAGGTACTTCATCTCAGTAAGTCACTCTTAGCTGCCATCTAGTGGTTGTTATTTTTGTGCCGCTACAACATTTGTAGGGAGGTGCACTGTGTGCCACAGTGAGAATGGGTGCATTTATTCATGGTCAGATGGCATAAACTAAATCATGTGCAGTGGTACCTCTACATGAAACAATGGGAGCTTTGGAGAAATGTAAACGCACCAGTGTATAGAAACAGAAGGGGCATTTACCATGAAGTCACCAGGGCAGGGTATTGCATCACTGCTCATGACCCACATGTTCACACTGCAAAAGAAGAAAAAAAGAAGACAGACAGAAGAAGAAGAAGAATTAAAAGGATACACGTGGGGAAATTACTAACATGTCCAAGGCATTAAGAAAAACAAGTTGCATATTTAATTAGGGTAGCAGATACATACTCATCTTTATTTTAGGGATGTTGATTTTTAAAAAATCTGTCTCTCTAATTTGCCCAATTAAACCCAAGGTTAGCAGCGTATCATTGCCAATTAAAAAAAAAACTGGAAAAGAAGCACAAACATGTGATGTGGCCCAGTTTTTCCTCATAACTTAATATTCTATCATTATCATTCAACATTTCTTCTTGATTAGGTATTTCATAAGTCTGGCACTGATCAGGTTTTCAGACATGCATATGGAGGCCTTAACATCATAGCCTACCTTACTGAGTCTTTGCCACAACATAAGAACTTGATCCCATGTGGTATAAGTTGTGGCCACATGCTACTTTTTTAAAATTTGAACTCACCTGGGGGCACTAAAACTTAGCAAAGCACACCCCTGGATTAACTGTTTGCTGATGAACTGTCAGGTTAAGGATGTTAAATGGGAGTTGTTTTGTGAAGGATATATTTTTAGGTATAAACCATGCAATATGAGGGCAAAATACAACAAAACAGACAGTTATAGAGATATTTCCCTACCTAGATATTTCCAAAACAGAAATAACAAACAAAAAAGCAAAACACTAAACAATAAAAGTGAGTAAATATGTGTGACTCACTTTTTCAGGTTGTTCAGTTTGATGATGTAAAAGTGAGAATTGAACTATTACACTGTTTACGAGCAAGGACAGTAAATGCTCAGTCTCCTTTCATTTTAACAAAAACTCTGGGAGCATCTAACCACTGCTTAGCCTACCTGGATACCAAGTAAGGCCTTTGGTATTATATATGTTTCTTACTGTCAACAATTTCCACAAAAAGAATAAAACCAAAAACAATGCATTAGTCCGCCTCGCAATACTTTGCAAAATTTCTGTCTGTGGCTCTTAGACCTAAATATTAAAAAAAAAGGATCATCAATGTGTACTTTGATTTTTGAAAAAGTCTAAATAATTTCCTGAAACAGCTGGGCAGTGCAATTTTTAGCACTTAGTACTCAAACAGGATTAAATAGTGACTATTTTCAGTGGTGGGTTTGATGTGCTGATGTGGTGGTTAATTAATGGCAGTGGGACATGTATGTTGGGCCCAAGTCAAAATAAACTACAATGCTCAGTGTTCATCATAATGAAGAAACATGTCAGTCAATGCCATGGTGTGGCTCACTGATGTGTTTTTAATAGCTTTTGTACAAAATTGGCAGTCTATGTTTCAGAGGAATAATCTACTGTATATGTACACAGGAAATACTTGTTTGTGGGATCAACGCAGTGTTCAGTTTTTTTCATGCAAGTTGTTGACAATATGAAAAATATAGAATATAAGTTATTTATTTAAGTTGTCATATAGACACAGTCATGCAGGATGTACTTGAAATGGATTATAACTGATGTAGAACACATTACTAAACCATTTATTAATCATTAATACATATTTAGTTTGCTACAATTTCTAAATCCTGTATAAGGGTACGAGCTCATGTAATAATGCAGGATGCAACTGATGCTGTTTTTTGGGTAATTTAATTAATTGCATACTTGTTAAGGAATTTGAACCAGTAGTATAATGTTAACTAAAGCAGATCCTGCAGTATTTGCTTATTTTGTTGCCTTGGCATGTAGAGGAGCTCTATACCACAACAGGGGCCCAACAGCATTTTTTTTTTTTTTTTTGGCCTTTGGGCCCCCAACTCGTTTATGCAACCATGCTTGTTGTAGCTTTATTTACAATGAAGCAAAGCTCAGTTTTTTCGACAGAATGCAGAAAGGTTAGTTATACAACAAAACAAATGTTGGTGAGTAAAATGAGCACAGTACACCTCTGGTTTGGAGACAGTTTAAACATGCACGGCGGTCGGTTTGCAGACGCGTAGGCTGGAAGAACCCTCAACCAGCTAACCACCCAGCTCTCCTCTCCGAGCTCCGCGCTGATTGGCCGGGGTCGAGTAAAGGCGGAAGTCTACAGACGGGGATTCCCCGAGGGAAGTTCCCAACTCAACTAGGCTATGTAAAACATACATTGCAATATCCTCTCCAGCGCTTCGTAGCTTCGCATTTGAAGATTAGGCGACGACGCTGCGGTGGTGTCAAAACAACAAATTCGACTTTAGCTGTTACTCGAATGAAGGTAAGCGGACACACTCACTGGCAGCGAGGTAAACTGATCCGTGGAGTTGTTGCTCGGTCGCTGTATCCACCACCGGTTGAATGAGCTATGGCTAACCAGTCACTTACAGCGTAAAGAATACGGAACTGTGTGGATTAGGTTTTGAACGACTCTTTAAAGTGCTCCACTGCTGTGTCCCGGTAGGCTCCGGCGTTAGTGTTAATGTCATTTTACAACTCAGCCTGTGGGCTTTTATTTTGGCTTCATCCGGGAGCCGTTGCTGTGTAGTACCACTGACAGTTAGTGTGTTGCTATGACATTTATTGTGAAGATCCAGCAATAATTGATGAGCAGCTCAGGGTGAGAGTGGCATCAGCTTCTTTCTTATTCTGCACCACTCCAATACGTCCATGTTAACTGTTACAACTGCAAATAGGATGCTGCAACTGCAACAAAATTGCTCAAAAAGTAGTCTGAATATCAGTCCAGACACTGGACATTAAATGACAAAAATGTAAGAACTGTCCAGGTCAGTAGTCTCATATTTGTTGTGCAAGATATTGCAAATGCATTGAGTAACTTCATTTATTTGTCTTACTTCTCAGTGGCTCAGTTGTTCATCAACATCTTCAGCACATAATTTTATGTAGAGCTAGAACAAGGTATCAGTTGTTGAAATGTGAATACTAAAATTCTGCTTTTGCACATTCAACTGGTGCTGCCAATATTTTTTGGTAATAAGCAAAGATTAGGAAGTGTATTTACTCAGTTTTGGCACAGTTTTGTTATTGCATCAGTAGCTTACATAAATCAAGCAAATCATTTGGCATCAGTTCATTGACTTTTATTTATTTTAACAGCATGTGAAGACAAGTTGACAGTTGTGTTCAGAGACATTATAAAACAAGCAAAACAGATTCACTCAGCATCTCCATGTTTTTTTTTAACTAGTCAAAAAAGTGCTCTCTTTAAAAGTGAGAACCTTTTTTTAGAACAAATAACATTTTGTGATTTCACTCATAGGGCTCATGTCTGCTGTGTCAGTGATGATTGTGGAGCACACGGCATGGAAAGGAACATTGGAGACCAGCTCAACAAAGCTTTTGAAGCTTATCGCCAGGTCTCCATTGAAAAGGACAATGCTAAAAAGGAGCTGCAAGAAATGGTAATGCTTTTTCAAGCTTTGTGTGAATTGAGCCAAACATTGCCAATATAGCACAGATAGTACACCACAGAGCAGAATGCATTGCCAGTTTCTCAAAAAAGGTTTTGTAACTCACTTACTCAAAGTGTGTTTACTATATTTATGTTTCTGCACTGTCAAATAGCAAGAAGTCTTGTTTTGATTATTACTTATATGAAAATGAAATGGGACAATCGGACGTATATGGGCCAGATTCCAGATATTGGTGCTTAAAAAAAATAACTTCATTTTCACAGACTAAATATTATGAGGGATACACTCAATCACTTCAAAAGCAGATAGAGGACCAGCAGCTGTTGATTTCAAAACTTCAAGCTAAGTTGTCAGCAACACGGCAACCATCAGGTTAGTGAGACATGCCAGATGATCTCTCTGCTTATATTCCAACAAGATAATTTATTCTTGCGTTGCATTGCATTCTGGGCATTGAACAAATTGTAATGGATTGTCATGAATAATACCGAATCTGTTTTATCTAACATTTCCTCCTGTACAAACTGTTCATTCTCACTGTTTTGGATTCTAAGGAGAGATGACATGTGAGCCTTGCAACCATGTCCTTGATGGGGCCAGTGCTTATAGGATAAAACAGTACCCGGTATGTTGACTGCACTACACTGTGCTCATTCTCTGTCTACTCTGTTTGAAAACTCCTATATGATGGCTCCCATACAGGTTTTACTTCATTCTCCCACGTGAAATAATATACGAGCATACATACAGCTTCCTCTCACACACAAGCACACGTTGATAGTACTTCTGCTTGATGTTGCTGCACAACAAGGATGTTAAAGGCACATTTTATGTTTGTTAACTATGAGGCTTAGAATATGGTTTTTTCATATGTGATTCGTAGTGACAAATTGTGAGCACTATCTTTGTGATTTTAAGGTGTAAGCATCATCTTTTAAGTAACTTTTTTGTTTATCTCAGTACCTGTGGCTGCACAACATAAATATAACATTTTTTCCAGTGTTGCTAACCCTTGTTTACACTGCTCTAAAGCAGTTTGCAGATCATTTCATGATAGTTAAATCTAAGAAATTCTGTTCTTGTTCAGGTGTTGCCCTGATGAGAAGGCACAGATGTTTTTTTATAGCGTTTCCATGCTTCCATTATTTTTTTTCCAATTATTCAAACAACTGAGGAGACCTACGATTGCATTGCTGCTGTAAATAGTATCCACCCTCTGTTTTACTGCACACGAAGTGTGTCCACTTTTACTTCACCAGATGGTGCTAGAGGATAATATCAGTGCACACTGAAGCAGCCTGAGCTTTACTGTTCATTATTTTACATTTTTCACTAGTAAAAATAAAGTTGTGATGTATTAATAAAACTGCAAATGTATTAACAATATGCCCTTGGATAATAGGTGTTAATGAACGCTATAAATGTAATGTGTCTTTTTTTCAGGAGAATACAGGCACTGTTGCTGTTGCTCCTAATTTGCCAGTCAGCAGCAGCGTTGACTAGTATGTGTCTTTCTTTGCACAAAGACTTCTTTTTTTTTTACTGCTAAAGATTGGATTTTTTTCTCATTCTTAATTCATTTGTTTGTCAGCCAGGACATGCTGGATGTATTTGAAGCAATTCAAGGGAAATTCCGGCAGATTCGGTCTCTAACCCAAAGACAAAAAGATCACCTAAAAAGATTCCATGGAGGAAGTGATACATCAAATGGTAATGTTAACATTTATCTGATATTATCTGCTGTTTTTTAAAGGCCTGAATCAAACTCCAGATTTTTATTAATTCAGTTACTAAAAATAAATTGTGTTGAATTTAAATAGGTTTGTATATGTCATAACAACTTATGTGTTTATTAGCTTTTGCTTTGTTCCTTAAGATAATTAGATAGCAACACCTTAACTAGGACTGTACACGAATGCCTCATTGTCCTTTCGAACCATGGCTGGCCACCTCTGTGAAAATTCCATGGATAAACACATTTAATAATTTCACTGACAAATGTACAAAGCTGGCTCTGGAGACGGGATGTATAATTAATAATATAATATAATTATTCATATAATAATGTAAAGTATGATTAAAAAATATTTTTTGTTATATACATATTGAAAGGACCAATGTGAGAATACTCTTGAAATATATTTTATGTCTCTGCAACTTCTCAAATCCTTGCCAAGCTCAAATGTCCTTAAAGCCAGCACTGAAATACGTCAACATGTTGACTGAGACGGAAAAACTGTGTAAAATCTCATGTTTTTCTGCCATCTGACAGATCAGCGGTTCTCCATGCCCATCCAGTGCACAGACCGTACAGCAGAGGCAGAGAGACCCTTTTCCTCAGTGCTAAGGTCAGCAGTGGATATCCCACTCCCGCCCACGTCTTTGGCGTCCCGTGGCGCCAGCCCCGAGGACAGGGACTTAGTAGACTCTCTCGCCAAACTCAGTGTCAAATTCCCGCCCTCTGCGGACAGTGAATATGACTTCCTGAACAGTGCTCCAGAGAGACACATTGGTCTCACCATGTCCATGAAGCCACCTCTCAGTAGTGTCCCGTCCGCAATGACAGAGGAGGAGCCCGTGGACCTGCCCATGCCTTTTGTCTACCCTACATCCCCCTCCCACTCAACATCATCTTCACTCTCCCAGGAGAATGTGCGGGGACCCCAGCAGGTGAGAATCACAGGAGAAGGTCTGAGAAAACTAGTAGCAAATTATCAGTTTATGATTGGTCTTTGCTAATGGAGGAGTGAAACAGTGTGAAGTCCAAAAAAATCCCTTTGGCTTAACTTGAAATGTATTACTGTGTAATGTGTGCTGATTCTTTTTTTACTTAAGCATGGATGCTCTGGTTATATTTGGCATCTTTGCTGGAAAGTGTGAGCCAGATGGAAGCACATTACACTGTCTGAATCTGATGAAGCAAGTATGATGGTTAAGTGGGATTTTATTTGCTGATGTGTATAAATGCCTAATAAAAAATTGTGAATGGCATGCAGCAAGATCTGCAAAAAAGTTGGTCCAGTTTTTCATAATATGATTCTTCCCCTGGATTAAATCAACATCGGCATTTATAATAGACTGTTTTAATAGCCAGGATGAACACATAAATAGTAAGATAATTAAACACTTGAGAATAAACCTTTTGCCTTTAGTGCTGCTGAGTATTTGTACAGGATGTTGGGTTGACAGAGGACCTGTTCAACAGATACTTCAACGTGAAGACCAAGTGGCCCAGCATGCTTTAATAAAGTGAGTGTAAGGATTGTTTAGAGCATGAATAATATATTGTTTTTTGTGGTTCATCCTGCTCTGCAGCCTCTCTGGAGCCCTGAGCTGTGTGATGCAGTTGACGTGGGGACAGAGCTGGCGACGCCTCAGAGCAGCAGTCCTGATAAATGTGCTTTCTGCAACGCTGTGGTTCCTCAGGAGCGAATGAGCAGCCACCTCTACTCGCATTTCTCTCATACGAATGAAGCCGACAATTGACAGTGGAAGCAGAGACTGACGGGCTAAGGCCTTAACTACTCCCAAGACTTTACTGTATTCATGGTCTGCCATGATCCTGCATGCCATGAAGTACATGCGCTGTACTGGATTTGAAATGACACTGCAATAAGACTTGAATCCATTTATTTAATATTGAAGAATTGAATGGTACACTTCTCCTCCCATTATATTTTTCTAATATCGTGCTGAGATTTTACTATAGTAAGTGACGATTATGCATAATATGGTATATATGAGCAAATAAAGCCGACATTTACTCATGCAACAATTTTATCATTTGAATGGTTTTCAACATGCAAACAGAAGACACAGTGGGGTAGTCTACATCCATACATGAAGACATCATGTGTATATATTACCATTATTTCTTGAACAGATTTATATACATTTTCATTTCAAAGTATAATTTGTAAAAAAAAAATAAAACAAAAAATCCCTTTAGAGAGACATTAATTCTTCTCTTTGTACATTGAAATTTTCGATAATCTGCTGAAATATGACAGCTCTGCCCCCTTATTATGTTGGCGCCAGGATTTTATATCTCATAGAACAACCATATGTTGTGTATTAAGAATGCCAACAATATGCATCAACTCACTCAAACATAAACCAATCAAGCTTTTATAGAATGGAGGACATGTTGATTAACACTATTTTCACATGAATCCCCATCGTTCTTCTAAGTTGTACACCAGGATAATTTGAAGCAGCTGTATGTCATTATTGGTGCACATCTGACAATATTTATAACATTGAAATAAGTTTAAAAGTTAGTTTGCCATGTGTTCGTTAAAATTGCCTACACAGATGGTAACGCACAACATCAGGCCCAAGCTCATTGTTTAATTAGTTGCCCAATTACCTTTCCATTTATATAGTAATGATTTTACCATATGCAATATTATAATGTATTAATGTAAGAAATGTTATTTTAATGGTTAAAGGAACATGATATGAAGAGTTTACTTAAATTATGCTATACATGATTATAAAATAATACATTCTAGGTATGCCAGTTTTAAATTACATAATAGAATACATTTTAATAATTATACAAATATCTGACAGTTTCACAAAATGTTAGAGTGAAGTGCTGAACGGTGAAATACAGGTAATCATAATTTGGAAATAGAACAGAGCAGATGATGTGTCAGTCACCGTCTGATCATTGTGTGAAAGTGCATCTTTTACAGTATGCACACCTATCATTTGACTAAACCTGAGTCTTTCTAAACAGCAGCATCGGCTTGTGATTTCTGCAGTATTTATTCACACCTTAGCAAACAATTGCAGTGATTTTCACCAAGCAATGTGATGATGTTTAAAGGAACGGGAGACGCTGTGAGTGTTGGAACACTTAGTTGTGCAGAGAGGACCTTGCAGCCCTTCAGCTATGGACTGGTAACACTTGTGCTGGGTAGATGAGCTGGTGTGAAGTCTGTAAACAACCTTTTTTTTTCTTTACAAGTGTTAGGCATTATAACTCACTTCCAATAATCAAATAGTGCATTAAAGACTGATTGATTTGTTATTTCAACCTTAACTGATATTTTTGGCGCATGGCATTTCACTATTTCATAAATAGATCCGAAGTGTGTAAAAAATGGTATGTTATAATGATATTAACTATTCCCAACTAATGAGTCATTAAACTGAAATAGAAGCTGAATATTACATATATATTTAATGCAGCATGCCACACATAATGCATGTTTATTTTAGAGTGATGTAAACCTCATAATTTAACATTTCACATCACATCATGGACACAGAGGGGAGAATTTTTTCAGATTTTTTGGCAAATACATATCCCTAATGATGCTCTCTGGTTAATCTGTGAAGAGTTGAACATTGTGCAGCCTGCGAGCTTTTCTCTCTGGGATCATGAACAGCTGCTTGCTCATAATTATGTTGTCATTCATTGTTATTTGGAAGAGGAAACTCGTACTGACAGCTAGGATTTTTTTTTGTGTGTGTGTGTATTTCCGTACAGTGTGTATTTACTCACTTGCGTGTACAGTAATGTGAACTGTTTGAGACTCAACTTTAGCTCTGAGGCATTGTTATTGCAATCATTTCCAGTAAAATATCAGATATATGTGCTATCTTTCTCCTTGGGACATTTGCTACCAGAGGCAGAAGAAATAGATAATTTGAAATAGATTTAAGAGCTTTAAAAAAAATGAAAGAGGACAAAAAAGGAGAGGGATATGGATTGAGACGGAGAAGTAGAAGGCTGATTACAAGGTGTCAAAATTGCCAGGAGCAAGAAGGTGAAAGCAATCAGGGGTGAGAAGAGTGCAGCATTCGTGAGGGGCAACTAATTATCCATCTCATTTGTGGAGAGAAGCATTTGAGGCAGCTCTAGCCCACTGAATGGTGACAGATTGGTGCGGAGGAGAGGGGAGGTGTTAGAACAATGGAGCCCAGCTCACCATCATTACTGCATGCTAATCAGCAGTGCTTCTGCACCACCAGTCCGTGCTGCAGAGAGTTCGGGGAGACGGAGAGTCACTGGCTTCAGGGGACCACAGTCATTTCCAAGTAGAGAAGAGAGAGAGCGAAAGAGAGAGAGAGAGAGAGGAAAGTGATGCACGGTATAGCTGTTGGCATGCTACCACTGCTTATTTCAGCTTGTAGGTTATCCTATGCACAGACCGATCTCTGTGGCCTGCGCTATCAGCTTGTACTTGTAAGATGAGCTGATTGTGCTGGAGTGTTTTTAAGTAGACTGGTGGAACAATAGGTCACTCTATGGTGTAATGCAGAATATACATGTGGTAATCACATGAAAAGTTTGAATTCTAAACAGAAATAAAGAATAAGTTTTAAGCCTTTAGAAAGTACTGCAAATATGTACTACTGCATATACCAAAAAATGTTCACAACACTTATAAATGTTGCACTTGCTGTCTACAAATGCATGTTAAAGTTAGAATAACTAAGCTGTAGAAACATAATAAAGGCAGCAGAGATATGTTATGTAAAATAATAATAATAATAATAGTAATTTAAAAAATGAGACTAAGTTTGTTTGTTTTTACTAGATACTGTATTGTCACGTTTTGAATAAGTTTTGCAGAGCACACTGAAAACAATAAGAATCGGATTGAGCATTATTGGTGAATTATACAAGCAGGAATGCTACACAACAATAGTTCCTGAAGATTTAGAACGCAGCTGTGTATTTACGTTTTTGAGCAAGGCCGTTTCAATTTTAAAACAGTAGTTTTGTCTAATGGTAAAGCGTTGATTAACAAAAAGCATTATTACATTAATGTACAATCAATAATTCAATTGTGTGTAAAAGTGTAGCCCCCGAAACCAAAACTCTTACTACAACTGAAAGCTATTGTTAGAACCAAACTGCTTGACTTTTAATACAAGGACTTATAATGGACAACTACTATTTGCTTGATGCGTTTGATGAGGATTTGTTTATAATTTTTGTAAACACATCTGTAAACATTGAAGTATTTAGAGGTTTGCAAAACAGGGAAAAATGCTTATTTTCAATTTTGATATCAATAGTAACTCCACTTGAATTTAATGTTGTCAAAAATTACGTATTTGTCCTTTAAACGTAATTGAACTGTTCATCAGTGTTTACACTCCTCCTGTTTCACTCTGTACACATGCTGACAATTTTTATGCTGTAGATAATATATATTATACAGTAGTTTTTGAATTCCTATTGGCATCACATCTGGGTAAGTTTACTTTCTGATGTTGATTGATATCAAACAATTTATTATTGCGATATAATAATATTTAAAATATCTCAACTCCATGAAACAAACACTTTTTTTTTTTTATTGGCCAGTAATTGGATTATAATTGCAGTAGCCAATAGACAGACGAGGCACCATTCCACTAAGTAATTATTTTCAACAATTACTCTTCTAAATATTATATTTCTAAATATCTAACAATGTTTATCAGATCATGCCACTGCCAAGAAGATATAACACAAGTGGGAAAAAAAAGAAATGCTAAAGGGTTTAATCAAACTGAAACAAAACAGAGAGATAGCAAGTGGATGAAGGTCACCTGGCTAGAATGCCCTCTTCACATCAATGTCATTTAGATAATTAACAACTTAGGAGAGAAGCATATTCAACTGTCTGTGCACTGGTCACCGTTGGCATGAGAGACTGCCAACTCTCATGGCGTCGCGAGCTGAGAGTATCACCTCACAGTTGTCTTGCCATGCGTTGGGCTCCTCGTGCTCTCTGTACAGAAGTGGCGGAGCTGACTTTGTGTTCGATTAAATGTGTTGAAGCCATCGCTGCCTGTGCAAAGTCTCAGAACAGCCCCTCTCCATTGTGTTTGTTTCAGTGCTGGTCTGAGAGCCCTGATTTCTGGAGCAGAGATTTGGCAGTCACAGCAAGTGATGACAGAGGCAGTGGTGAGATCGCACCCAGAACCCCAAAGGAGGCTCACGTTTCAGGCGGATGCGAGCCTTGTTCAATACACAGAACACAAAAGCACTGATCAGTGGAGTTTGCTGATGCCATTGTTCTAAAATTCACATTGTTCAGCCACTATAGCAAAGGCGACGTGTTTATGATTATCAGGGGAGGGTTGGAGTGTTGGACATTTGTAAACTTCTGAACTTTTTGAAGACATTTGGCTGCCAATTCGAAATAACTGTACGACTGAAAGTCTGGCTCTCAAGATGTCATCCTCCTGTTATTTTATTGTCACTGTTAAATTAGTGTAGGTTGCTTTTCTTCTTGACACATGGGGGTGGGATTAAGCATGGGGATGTTTGTGGAAGGGTAACTTGCAATTCAAGGGTTAAGGCAGCATGAAAGAATCCATTCTCGGTTTAATGACCTAGCCTCGCTGGGCGAGGACGACAGGGAACATACTCTTGACTTGTACTGAATTTGCCAATTAACACCTCCAATAACAGGCTGCCTCTGAACATCACCAATGTGGAGGGAGGAGGAGTAACTCTCATGCACTTTGTTTTTAAGCCTCTGATCCTGTAATGATAAGGTCTGTGATTTCTTCATACGCTGAAAATTATTTTGCCTTATACACAGTTTGGTACATTTTCTTTCATAGTAGAATTTTGTATGAATTGTTGCAATAGCTTTGAGATAAATTCTCAGTTCATAGGCAGTGTAGTGTCTGACTATCACACTGGCAATGATGTTGGAAATATTTTATTCTTCCACGTGCAGCTTGAATCCTTATGTAGTTATTGGACCTTCTATTTTTTGCACACGGCCATATGGCCATGTGCAGCTTCAATTA